TTCTAAAAAAGTTTGAATCATTCAAGGTTTCACATACAATAGTATCACATGTCTCGTAGTTATCAAGCAAGTCATTAGGCTCCATTGTTCTAATTAGATTTCACCCACTTACCAACCATTATATTACCATTAGTTTGCTGCTTGGAGCAGCTCTCCAAGGTGCTCCATGTTTTTAATTCTTAGTGCCCTGGACTCATTTGTTTCACGTACATAGACATTTCCATTTTTTATCCATACATAGCTATAGTGATGGTCCTTTTTCAGTTTCTTTGCCTCCATTAGTAGATTTCTTGTGTTTTTATCAAGGTCCTCTGAGATAAAAATTTTTCTTTTTCGTTGTCCACGGCTTGAAGTAGTACTACACAATTCGGTATCAAGGTTTTCTATTTCTTTTTTTGCCTCTAAAATTCTATTTCGGGTATCCTCATCTGGGAGTTCTACCAAAATTATTGGTCTATCTTCTGATTTACTAGGAAACAAGTTAACCTTGACATCACTTGCCTGTAATGGCGAGTTGATTTTAGTGAATATCTCTAAGACACTTTCCTTAGCTGTGTCCTTTGTTACGTAAGGTCCTGTTATGACCAAGTTTTTTTTCTTTGCTTGGATTTGCTCTTTATCCTGTTTGTAATTCAGAAGCTCAACTTTTTTCTCTAAGTCTCCAATTTTTCTCTTCATGACCTCATTTTCTCTTTTAAGCTGTTTATATTCATTCTGCATTTCCTTTATGGACTTATTAATGTCCTCTACTAGATCCCACTTAAAATTTAATGAGGTCTCAAATTGCTCAAATCTATCATTAAAGATTTTCAATATTTCATCAATAGAAGGACCTGAGTTGGTGGGTCCCTGACTATTATTGATCTTTTTTGGGACACTGACTTGACTTGGTCTCCTTATTGTAATATTGTTTTGCTTACCAAGACCTGAAGTTGCATCATTTTTAGAGAAAAGTTGGCTTAAACGCTTGTTGACAACATGGGTAATTTTTTCAGCTTCGGAATCTGTACTCTGCTCTGTCTCAGATTGATAATTGTTCTCAACACACTGCATACATATCCATGGACTATCCGTTTCATTTTTTTCGTAGGCTGCAAACTCTATAGCAGTCAGTTTAGAACAGCTTTTGTGGTAGTATTCTTGGCATTGTCCACATATAATGCTGTATTGCGCCTTTGATATATTATGCTCACATTTAGGACAGATGTATGCCTTTTTGGCCGGGTTTTTTTTGTTTGGGGCTTCGCTTTTCTCGCCCTTTTTCGCACCTGACCCAGTTGCAGCCGGTTTTCCCATTTTTTCCGCTTTTTTTGGAAGGCCGTGGGTGTGTATTTTGAGGTTAGAATTCCAGTTTGTTGTTTTTCCGGAATTTCCCGGGAAGTCGGTATAATCTGTCTATAATGCACTGGTAGCTGACTTTGTTTATCACTTTTAGTAATTTTTTGTATTGTACTTTACGAAAAAACTAATATGTTTATATAAACAAAAATGCTTGTTTTGATGTCCCCTACTACCCCTTAAAGTTTGTCGGTATCGTTTTGGGACACCCTGTATAGCCAATTGTTGATCTCGAGGGGTAGGTCACTCCCCAATTACTTAGGTGTACAAATGTTGAAAGGTAATTGGAAAAATACATTCAATTACCTCAATTACCTTGCAATTACCTTCAATTACATTTAATTACCTTCAATTACATTTAATTACACTCAATTACATTTAATTACATTTAATTACATTCAATTACTTTCAATTACACCCAATTACATTCAATTACGTTCAATTACGTTTAATTAATTACATTCAATTATATTCAATTACTTACATTCAATTACAATTTAATTACATTCAAATACCTTCAAATACATTTAATTACATTCAAATACTTTCAAATACGTTCAATTACATTCAAATACTCTTAAATACATTTAATTAGATTCAAATATTTTCAAATACGTTCAATTACATTCAAATACTGTCAAATATATTTAATTACATTCTAATACTTTCAATTACGTTGAAATACTTTCAAATACATCTAATTACAATCAATTACTGTCAATTAGATATAAATAATAATAATAATAATAATAATAATAATAATAATTTTATTGGTGAATTTACTTACAAACAAAGTTTACACAAGTCACCTTAGTGTAGCATAGTAAAATTATCGAGAATTATAATATGCTGAGTATAAATGAATACATTATGGATCACAATGTTACAATCATATCGTTAAAATATAAAACCCCTCCATCTAGGGCTGCCATTCGTCCGGATTTGCCGGATTGGTCCTAGTTTTAAAGGCGTCCGGGGACGTCCGGGGGGATTTTTTGAAGTTATCCGTGTTTTACTACGCTTTACGGCATCTTGAGAAAAATCTCGAATAACTCCGCGAAATTGACAAAAATCATGGAAATCGTCAGTCGACATCATCAGTTTTATTAAGCTCGCGTGTGCACGACTCAAGTTTCACGTTCACGTGTCGTTAGTAATTTTTGGAGCTCGGTGAAAGTTATAAAAAACCCCATATTTTTTGTTAAAATAATGAGTGGTTCTCGAAGGCTTAAAATAAACTTTTTTGGGCGTGGCACCCAAAAAAATCTGCCTCCGGCGGCGCCTGAGGTGGGCTACCTTCTAGTGGTGTCCGGGCTTGAGGGGTTAGAATCCGGGGTTTTTGTAAAAATTGTCCTAGGTAACAAATTTCATAAATGGCAGCCTTACCTCCATCCTCCATCTTTATTTCCAATAAAAACTAAAACCTGGGTCAAAATCATATTGAAATGCAACGTATAGACGCATATTCGGTGTAGGTATGATGAGACTGGTGTATTTTTTCCCTAATTAAACATTTACCCAAATTTTACGTTGGTCAAATTATTGGATTTTTATTTAAAGATAAGAGTGCTGATCAAGAAAGCTGCGATGTTGCTAACAAAAATATAATCTGTCTTGCAAACTGGTATGTCGTGAACAATGAATGTGAGTTAGAATCAAGTGTAGATCAGACAAATTTGAAAGAACATTTTGCTGTCAAAGCTAAAAACCAACCAAGCAAACGTAAGCAGCATTCTCAAAAAATTGAACATAAAAGCAAAGAATATAAACGTAAATTATGCAAACAGAAAAAAAAAACACGTGATCTTTCAAGTGACGAAGACAGTTTATCTGATTATTCATTGCACGATAGCGAGTCAGACTATGACATTCAAGACATTTTAGGAGAAGAGGAAATGAAAGAGCAAGAGCAAAGGGAAGGAAATGTAGAAATTACTAGAAATTGATGGAATATATAAATTTGGATCATGGGTGCATATAACCTACATTGGCAATAAGTCAGTCAAGCGCTATGTTGGACAGACAATAGAAATTACCAGCAAATACCTAGTTGTTAAATTTTTGAAGAGGCAAAATAATGTTTTTATCTGGCCAGACTCCAGACAAAGAAGATATAGATTGTGAAGTTTCTCAAAGCAATGTATATATGGTTCTTCCTGAGCCGGAGTTTAATAAACGAGGCCATTTACAATTCCCAGTGGATTTCTAAAATTTAAATGTTTATTAAAAGTTTATAAAAAAATACACTGATCAAAACGAAAAAGGAGCAACTTTAGAAATTAAATATAATTTCTCTATTAAAATAATATATTCAGAAGTGGCTCCTTTTTCGTTTTGCTCAGTGTATATGAATATTATAAATGTAATAAATTTAGTGTTTAATTAATAAGAATAGTTCTTCTTTAATTTCAAAATTTTCCTACTAGGCTGTTACAACATGAGTTACTCCCTTATTAGGTAAACAGATGGTAAAATGTAATTGGAAAATACATTTAATTACCTCAATTACGTTGAATTACATTCAATTACATCCAATTACATTAAATTAGGTTCAATTACAATAAATTATATTCAATTACAATCAATTATATTCAATTACAGTCAATTATATTCAATTACATTTGATTATGTTCAATTACAAACAATTACATACAAATACATTCAATTACAAAAAAATAGATGTAATTGAATGTATTTGTAATTAGGTGTACAAATTTTATCGAGTGACCTACCCCTCAATCCTAACGCTTGAATATATTTTATTCAGGGACTGCGAACTTTCGTCACTCATCACTAATTTAAATTTGGGGGGGCTAATTCAAGATTTGGGGGGGCTTAGCCCCCCCAAGCCCCCACCTAGAACCGCCTATGTGCATCGACCTACCAAACACCCTGTATACCATCCAACCCTCAACCCAACCAAACCAGCAGAATGATGTTTATGAATTACACTGCAGGTCTATTGAAATCCTATGTTAGCGGTTTCCCGACCACCTGCTTTTGGTTATCGGCGATTATAACTTACCAGAGGCTAACTAACTGGCAAATGATGGGTATAGAGTTAATATTGTGTGTCTTGAAAATTCATGTGCCTTGACTGTAGCCACATCTTTTGGATTGCTTAATCTCTTTCAACCCTCTAAATGTGCACCGACTCCGATAATAATTGTCTTTCATTACTAGTGACGACACGATTTGGCTTTTTTTCTTGTATGAACTGATTCTTCCGAGGATTCAATAATAAAACAATTATGTATTTATTTATTTATTTATTGTATCAACTACGTATTAGAGCTGTTATTAGGGGTACATACCTTAGCCTCCTAGCAGTAAGTCGGCCAAGTTTGATTTTTTCTATTTTATTCAGGCTTAGGACCGTTACATAATATTGTAATATTTTTTAACACTTTTCATACAAATTTTTAATATTGTCAGCTACGCTGAAAACAAGGTAGAACAAGTATACAAGCATTAAAACAAAAATTGGCTTTGTATGATGGGCACAAAATGTATGGCACTGCCTTCCAGATGGAGTATAGAATTTGGGGATTCTTTGTGATGATTATGGAAACCCCGGGGAAACCCTTATTTTAATTCAGTTTGGGGCCTTGTAACAGAAACTATTATTGAGAAGCTCTAAAGTTATATATATTTTTTTTCAGTGTCACACTGGAGGCTGTGATTTTATTGAATTTGACGTCACCCTCACGAGCGATGGTATTCCAATAGTTTTCCACGATACCACCTTAGAAAGAATGGCTGACTCTGATGTAGTTGTAAATAGTACTTCATATGAAATATTGAAAAATTTTGATATATCTGTTAAGCATCCATTGAGGTAAATTACATTTACACTATTCTAATAACACTATGTTAGAATTTAAATCATTGATGAAATTATATTTATAATTTATAAGCAATTTAATTGACGTGATAGTAATCACCTTAAATTTCTTATTTATTGGAAGCAGTTGATTTTTCAAAACCCACCACTAACTAGCAACATTTTCTATAGTAATTTGCACACATCACTGACCAAAGCTTCACATAAATAACTAACGATTGTGTAAAATTATATTTAACTTAGTGGGCTGCTGTCAATAATAACCTGTAGAAATTCCCTTAATAAATAAATAAGATATTAATTTACATTTATTGCACATCCCACTGACATTACACTCATTAATTTTTTAGAGATCGGTTTGGCATTACTAACATTCCCACATTAGATCAAACTGTAATAAAATTGCTAGATAATGGACAAAAAATGATTATTGACATCAAGGATAGCAATACTAAGGTAAAAAGGAAAAGAACATTTGGGTTAGACTAGAAAAAAAAAAACATTGCTTATAATAATAATTATTTTTGATCTCTTTTCATTCTAGATTGTGCCTATTATTTTAGACTTATTTGTAAGATATCCAAATCTTTATTCAAACGCTATGGTTAGCTCATTTTATCCAAATGTAATTTATTTGGTAAGTGCATTTAAGGTTCAATAATTTTATTATGGAAAAAATTAACGCTAGATTTTAGTTAAGAAGAACTGATCCGAAAATAGTATGTTCTCTGGCTTACAGACCCCATATATTTGCCAATGAAAGTTTCAAGTATCCGGAAGGCAAAGGCGCAAGGAGGGCTCGTCAATTATGGAAACATTATTTATTGAAATTCTGTGATTCAATACACGCCTGGGCATTACCAAGAGTAACTTACTATTTTCTGGGATTGTCTGCTATTCTGTTACACAAGGATTGTATAAGCGCGTAAGTAACTTGTGACTTTATAAACTTATGGAAACTCAACAATTTCATAAAATTTCGATATAATTTAATGTTATACTAATCGAAACAAAATGGTCCAAAGGGACTATTTTATCCCCATAACTATTTTTGTTAGGATAATGATTCGAATATAAGCTACTCTGCTAAATTGTATTGAAATTTAAATAAATCTGAGTTGAGCACAGTTTCCATGATAATAGTAAAGAGTTATACGATATTTTTATGTAATTTATTTTACAGGGAATCTATTCTTCAGTGGCGAAGGAAAGGAGTAAGAGTTATGGCGTGGACAGTAAACAGTCCAATTGAGAAGCAACATTTCATTCGCAATTTGAAAATCACCTATTTAACCGATACTTTAACGGGCGAAGTTAGCGCACATAGCATAGCATAACTTAATCAAAGTCAATTGATACTGCATAAAACCTTGTACTGTGAGTGTTTTAATTGACTTTGTAGACTACTTTTATTAGCTTTTTGTGTTTTTTTTTTTGAAATAATGCAGCCTGGAATCATTTTGAGGAAGCTACTTTGATTGTTAGGTTATTTTATGCACATTCTAATTTCTATTAGAAAAGTACATTTCTATATACAATGGTGCTGTGAATCTACTTGCATTTGCTGGTCAAATATGCATTTATTTTTCCAATTAACCTTTTCAGAAAGTAACTGATCAATTTTTTCTACATTGTACATACATAGTTGAAAATAAGGGACAAACTCTTTTTTTTTACAATGCATTTTAATTTTATATAAAACATTTTTAAGTTGTAACAAACTTGCCAAAGATATTCCAGTATTGCCAATTCTTTTCCTCTAGATTTAAGTAATTTATTGTGCTGTTCCTTGAATTTCACTTATTACTACACTATTATATGCCTTTGATGAATTTTTGTGAGTTTCTTTTAATTGCAATAAAAACAGAAAAAAAAATAAGACCAACAGATTGTTTTCAATTAATGACATTTCATGAAAGATAGGCTCTTTTGACTAGCCTCTGCTTATCATTTTTCCCAAGAACAATTCCAGTTTATACTTTGGCACAGTACGTTTCCGATTCCAAATAAATTGAACATTCGAGTGCGATCTTTTCCCAACCGATTTGGCGATTGAATTTGATGAATCTATTTCAGGTTCCAGGCTTCGCTTTTTCAGATAATTGAAACAGCAACTCCGAAAGTGTCTAGAACCGCACGCCGGACGGCATTCCATTCCGCATGTATCACACGATTTTTTCCATTGTTGCTGATTGGTACTGGCGACCGATTCTGAAACAACATTGAAAGGTGATCAAAACCTAGACGAGTGAAAAAATGTTCTTCTTCTGTGCTTCTACAGTGCTTTTGCAACTGAAATTTGGATAACTTAACTTGATCAAACCATTTCCAGGATAAGTAAAATTAAAAGTTGCTGCTTATATCCCAGCATAAAAATATATCTATACAATGATTCCTAAGATTTACCGAATAGGTACAAATTATTGTTAAAGACCTGATTTTTCAAATTGATTTGATTTTTTGTGATGTTTTATAAACCCCAAAGTTAAAGAATATATTATTTATACTCACTTACCATAAATAAGAATCATTATTATAAAAATAACTATGACACATTTTTTCATTGTTGCACGAAACATTAATGACAAAAGTGCAAATACGACCTCCCAGCGATCAAATTTTCCTTTTATATGTGCAACTTCTATAAAAACGATAAGAGATTTAATATGGTCCAATAATTGTGGTGGTTGTAAATTACAGCTATGGAGTATTTATTGTGGTAATAAAGTTCATTTTCATTTTATCGTAATAAAATACTTTCCTATTTGCAGTTCCTGCTGATGTGGGTGAATTATTCGCTCATGTCCTATTTTATGCCCTAAAAAAACTAAGCCTGATAGATTTTGATTTGTCGAAAGATACAGTTCTACAGCCTTATTTAACATCCGCTTGTTAAAAAAAGCAATTTGAAAAATTCTTATACTCGACTTACTTTTATGCTGTTAAAGTCTTGCAAAGAAAATAAGACCACAATTTGTATTTTTCAAGAAGTAGGGACTGGCGGCAAATGCTTCCAAAGAATATGCTACTCAATTGGAAGAAAACTGGGAAGTGCCCAAACAATTTTCTATATTCAAACCTCTTCGAAATAGTCTCCAAATTGCTTAGACATTGAAGTGTCTTATAAGGTGAATTAATAATACTAAAGATTACTCTTAAGACCAGTCTCGTTAGATTGTGCTACCTTTCTCTACCAAAATGTAAGAGGCCTTAAAACCAAACTCAAAGATACTTTCTGTGCTGCTCGCGCCGAGTCTTTCTCAGTTATTGCACTTAACGGAAACGCTAGACTGTAGTATTTGTGATGCCGAATTTCTCGACTCGCGTTACACGGTTTATCGCTCTGATAGAAGAAGTCTGAACAGTACTAAAAGCCGTGGAGGTGGGGTCCTTCTGGCAGTAAATAATTACCTTAAATCTCATCGCCTGTCAATTCGTGAAGCATCGGTAGAGGACACGTGGGTGTCTATGACGCTGGGTGGCTTGATCTTCTGTATTGGCTGTGTCTACATTCCACCTAACATGGATGTGTCGCATTACGAAAACCATTTGAAATCAGTTGCTAGTGCCTGTGAAATGTTTGATAATGTGCTTGTTCTTGGAGATTATAATCTTTCCCAAATAACGTGGTCCACTAGTGAGGATCTCTCTTTTTATTACCTGGAAATGTAAGGACCACTAAGGAAATATTATTGTTATGTGATAGTACTGCTTCTCTTAATCTGTCTCAATACAATGGGGTGGCTAACGATCATAGTTCAATCCTGGATCTATGCTTTGCCAACTTTGGGCCCATTTCACTTGTAACATCTGACGGTCTGGTGGGCTGTGATCGTTATCACCCAGCTCTAGAGTTTTCCATACCTGTTGTTAAAGCTAAATTTCTGAAGCCTCTTAATTATTTTTCTTATGACTTTAAAAATGCCAATTTCGATTTAATAATAAAAGAATAAAAGAACTTTATTTATACTGCACACATTACAGGTATACAAGATATCCAATAAAAACATGCACAGTTTTAGGAAAAAAGATAAATGTATAAAACATAGATATAAAAATATGTAAATACATGAAAATAAACAAAACTACAAAAGGTTAAAACAATAATTAACACTCCATTAGGCGCGCGAGTTTTTATAACTCATTAGTCGCGCTGTATCCAGTGCCGGTTTAAGGTAGTTTGCCGCCCGGTGCTACAAAAACGCAGCGCCCCCCGACCGTTTGGAAAAAAAGAAAACAATTTTTTTGGAGCATTTATTTCAAAAAATTTATTCAATTCTTTTATACAGGGTGTCCCAGGAAGAACAGTCCATCTCGATTTATTGGATTTGGAATGAGAATCTGGAAAAACGCTCGGACACGTCAATTATTGATTTGAGGAGGAACCATTGTTCAGTATCCCCTAGCTGGGGGGGAACAACACCCCAAATTTGAATAGGGGATAGGGGTCGTGTCCTACCTATTTTTAAACGTCTCATCGAGTTCTTTATGGCCTTAGATTTTCGTCTTATCATTTTCATCCGTAACGAAATGGACATAGGCTATTGTATTAGTGGGAGTATATAAAAGCGATACTTACCTCCCCTTATTAAAAATACTTCAAATTGAAGTTTTTTATCATTATTATTAATCAGGTGAACACGTGAATTGTAAATTGTAAGTAGCTATGTTTATTAAGGGAGGCAAGTACCACTTTTACTCCTACTAAAACAATAGTCTATTTCCAAGATTTTGACAAGCTGTCATTCCGTTACGGATGAAAATAATAAGACGAAATTCTAGGGCCATAAAGAACTCAATGAGACCTTTGAAAAGAGGTACACGACCCTAGCCAAGGGATTGGCTACGGGAATGAAAAAAACTGAAAAATATTTCACCCTCAAATCAAAAATCGGCGTGTCTGAACATTTTTCTCGATTTTCATTTTAAATCAAAAAAATCGGGGTGGACTGTTTTCCCAGGGACACCCTGTATATATTTATTATTTTTAACCATGTATGAAATGTTGTCATTACTGACTTTTCAAAAATTTGAAAATGTCACATTTCTGTCTTTTCATTTTCCTGCTCCAATACCTGTCCCAGGACGGGAAGTGAGGAAAACCTCTCGACCAGTAATGAAGCATTTCCCGTCTCGGATTGTAATATACTATTACGCAACGACGCCACCGCCAAACAATATTATTATTATCTTGAAATAAATAATTGAAGTGAGATTAGGGTTGTCAACGTTCCCGATTTAGGCTGGAGGCTCCCGCTTTTTTACTAAACCTCCCGTCTCCCACGTACTTAAACAAAACTCCCGCTTTTCCCAAAAATAGAAATTACCTACATGAAATAATAGAGAGTTCTCGTGCCGTCTAAATTTCAAATACTGTAACGCTATCTGACAAGTATGACAGTTCTTACGATATTAGCGTTAGCGGAGCCCGCTATCTAAAGGAACTTAGCGGATGCCTTACCGTAACGCTATGCTATGTCAAAACTAGTTTACGCTCCATTTATGTCTGCAAAAACCACAACTTCTAATAATTCCTTCATAAAAAACACCAAGGAAAATTAATCAAGCTCAGGAATCTTCAGTATAAGTAAAAATTAAAAAAAAAGGAAAAAAAGTTGGGTTAGGTCACTCAACTCGGCTGTCAAAATGTAAACAGAATAAGGGATTAGAGGATTTATGTGTCTTGGTGTCCGAGAACTATAAAATACCATGCAAAATACCGTATTGTTAGCGGTACCGTATTAGCGTAGTATCTGAGGCACGAGAACTTTCTAATGATTCTAAATTAGGTGCTCTTGTTTACTTTTACCATAAATTTAATACTTCTCTATAAATCTGCAACACAGCGCAACCGGGGTGCATTACTGCACTACGAATAACGTCAAGAGGCGAGTGCGCTTTGATATTTGTCTTTCTTTGTTTCCAATTTCAAACGAAGACAGAACTACTGGAACTACTCAAGACTGAGAGCGTAGCTCGTTCGGGCGTCTGAGTCTAGAGTCTAGTGTACTGCAAAGGTATAGCTTTGTTCCATCTCAGCAGGGAACCGTACATTCACTACTGCGCAAAACATAAAATTTGTGCGTAGAATCTGAAATTCTTATACAGAGTGGATGGTTTTTTGGCGGGTTTCGAAGAGACCTTATTGTGACACCGTGCGGCACCACAAAAAAAGTTCGCCCGCGGCGAAACATTTTTCCCTTCCAAGGACTACCTCTCGCTTTTCTATTTTGAAAATCTGGCAACCCTAAAGGTACGGTTTGTTAAGGCCGTATCAGACGTGCCGTTGCCGATTACTATTAACGATTACGATTGGGAATTCGACCAATCAAAATGTACCTGCTTCTGGTTGCGATTGCCGTTGTATTATGTTTAGGTTGGAGTCTAAATTTTACGAGGCCGTTGTGAACCGTAGCCAATGAAAGCATTTCATGAATAATAGCATGTGACATGTGTCTCAACGTCACTTTTTTGTTTCGCAATTTATCGCTTCTCCGGTGTTACACCCAAACCTATTTTGGTTTGGATCTTTGTCTTTCCTCTTCTTCCAATGTAATCATATAGCACATCAACGCAGAAGAAACTTCCCGACGACATTTGGCGCTGTACTTTGAATATTTTACCTACGACATTTTGACATTATAAACATTTCAAGCGACCAGTAATCGGTAACGGAACGGTGTCAAGTGTGATTGCAACCGCGACGGCCGTCAGCTAAAATATTCAAAGTACATCGCCGAACGTCATCGGAAAGTTTCTTCTGCCTTGCTGTGCTATATGATTATATTGGAAGAAGAGAAAAGAGAAATATCCAAACCAAAATCGGTTTGGGTGCAGTACCAGAAGCGATAAATTGCAAAAATAAAAAAGTGACGTTTAGATACATGACACATGCTGTTCATAAAGCGCTTTCATTGGCTACGGTTCAGAACGGCCTCGTAAAATTTAGACTCCAACCTAAACATACAACGGCAATCGCAACCAGAAGCAGGTATATTTTGATTGGTCCAATTCTCAATCGTAATCGTTAATAGTAATCGCCAACGGCACGTCTGATACGGCCTTTAGGATAGTACGCGACGCACAACTGACAACGTAAACGTCGTCATTGGTTCAGGTATGACGTACACCCGTCTTCTGACGTGGGAAAACGGGTGTACGTCATACCTATGGTCATACCTGAACCAATGACGACGTTTACGTTGTCAGTTGTGCGACGCGTACTCTCCTAACAAACCGTACCTTTAGTGAGATGCGAGCTGACTGATTGTTATCTGTCGGCTATCACACGAGTAATACGGTTCCAGGAATTTAAGTAGAGCTGCGCATGGCTATAGAGACGGACGTAATTCTAAAGTGCGACAACTGAGTGAACCTTGGTAACGTATGAAGTAGCAGAGGGGAAGACGAAAATCTATACTATACGACGCGACGGGTCCCCGACGTGGTGCATTGCGAAAATTGCGGTTACCCTGACGCGACGACCCGCGTATATGT